CCAGCAAAACATATCTATCCCCTAATATAATTAAGCCAAAGAGATGTAACCATCTTATACAAAGTCCATTTATATATACCAATTTTTATAAATGTTCATCTCAGTTCTGTCAAGTTTTATACCTTTGATTTTGGTTTTCATTAGGCCCCAACCAGCACGTCTTGATCTTTCAAAAAGAGTCCTAGAAGCTTTCCTTTCTTTTATCCCCTGAGAAAAGAGAGCTTTCTTTATCAACAGCTGTTTTGTTGGTAACTATCGGGGGACAAACCAGCTAGAAGGTGGAAAAAGACAAGCTGTGTTTGCCCCCATAGTTACCAATAAAACAGCTGTTGATAATGAGAGCTCTCAGACGTTTAGCAATTTAGGAGTTTCTCCAATTTAAAGGATCCATCCTCTGGTCATTGATGAGGTATATCTTAATAGTGACTCAAGCCAGTAAGTTGCAAGAGTGTTCCCTACCAGATCGTGTGAAGGATGTAGCTTTCAAAGATCTAGAAAGTTTGCTCCCAAAAATAGTCTAAGAAAGTAAAGGCTTTTGTTGCACAAGCTGACACAAAGAAGGTTAAGATGGTAAAAAGCCCCTGAGAATTGTTATAATCAGACAAAAGATTGCTCAGAACCCCAGTTTATTTGATTGGCTGCCAAATGAACACCGTGTGTGTGCCTTCTGGGTGGAACAGACCAAGCTCTCAACGCACACACGCACACAAAATGCAGATCTAGTAGAACATTTACATCTCAAAGACACATGAAGGCAAATGGTGCAAGTTCCCAGGAAGAGCTTTGCTTCTTTAAGGTCAGAATTCTGAAAAGATGTTTTATCAAGCTGGCGTTCTCCCACTTTACTGTATATGCAATAAAAGCCCCATCTGAGTCATTTTCAGGGCAAGATTTCCTTAAATTCCCAGTGAAGTGGGTGCTTGCAAAAAAGAGCTATATATATATATATATATATATGAATCTGGCCAGGATGTTAGCTAGAGGCTAACTCTCTGATGCCCCTCATTTCTGTTAGAGATTTATTTCCCATTTTAAAGTTGAATTTGTCTGGGATAAAATTCACTAGTGAAGTTGTGTGGTGGGCCAGTGAGCTGCTCATGAACTTAAGTCCTCTAGGTTTTTACCTTAAAATTGTTTCAGCTCGTTTTGTGTGTTTTGATTCTGGTTGTATAAGACCTCTGGTTGTTTAAGACCACTGTGGGTGCTCAGATAGATCATGGAGTGACCAGTTCTTACTCGTGTACCTGGCAGAGCAAGTTTTTAACGTGAAAATGAGTGAGCTTCCCTACAGGGGTGGCTGGAGGCGGCGGGCACTTGCCTTCACCACTCTTGTGAATTTCTCTGTTGCCTGGAAAAGCCATTGTCGGCTGGGAGGTGATGTCCCTTCTCTGGAGGCGACAGCTCACATGTAATATTTTCACTTTTATCCCAACAAGTTATTTTCAAGGTAGCTAAAATTTGAGGAAAGGTATCAGGTCAGCCTCCTCCCTAACCACCCAGCATCTTTCGGCTGAACAAATCTCAGTGTCTTTCACCCGGGCTCCTCCCGCATTTTTCCCATAGGGAGCTGGGGACCGGAGGCGTTGAGCTAAAGGCACACATTCCTTTTGCTTACATCTTGCCTGGAACTCAGCCATGCACCCTCCTCCTGTGAGGAGCCTCGGATGAGCAGCCTAGCTGTGTGGTGGAGAAGAGGAAATGGAGTTGGGGTGGACGGTAGAGCCTGGGATACACCACCGCGTTCTTTCAGATACTGTAGTCATAGTAGCTAATATGACCAGTGCTTCTCCTGAGGCAAAGGTTGTTTCATATACATTTTTCCACCTAATCCTCACAAGAAGCCTGTAAAGTAGGGAGCAGTAATCCCATTGTACAGATGATGGTGCTGGTTTAGAGAGGGTAGAGAACTTAAATATAAGCTGCACAGTCAGTGGAAAGCCAGGATTCACACTTAAAATGGTGCCAGATTCTTCTTCAAGGTAAAAGATTTGACATGGACCGGGAGCAAAAAACAACAGCTCACAAATGCCTTCCCCACTTTTGCAAAGAATTACTCCCTCTCCCTTCCTCACCAAGCCTCCCTCTGGAGACTCTGAGGAGAGAGGCTGGTGGAAGAACTGGAGGAGGGAGGCGATTAAATCACCTTAAATCTGTTCTAAGATCTCCGTTTCCAAAGGCTTTCTGTTTCCAACAATACTTGATTCTGTGAGAGACCTTACCCCTGAGCTGAACGGAGAGAAACAGAATGCAGCTTCTGAAACAGGCGGACTGGCAAGCTAAGGTAGCAATTGTATTTAAATTTCAGTATCAGTAACGCTGGCTGGAACCACCTAAAGCAGACGGAAGGAAGGGGTGTCAGGACACATTTCCCCTCCTTCCATTGCCTACCCGCTAGAAATGGAAAGTTTTATGTGACAAGAGTTTATTTTGCCAGTTGAAATTTTCCCCTCTTTTGAAAATTAAGGCAGCCTTACAGAACCTTATATTGGGGTCAGTATAGCAGTATATTTATGAAGTGAAAAAGTGGAGTTTTTCTCGGTGTCATAAGTATACCCTTACTCAACATAAATGTACTACTTAGAATATTCCAGATTTAAGCTTCATTATAGAGCAAGCATGCTATGATCACATTATATTTTAGGATCCTTGAAATTAAATAGCAGCTCACAGGGTCCATGTAATTTGCTTCTCTTTTGTAGCAATGCTTTGGCCTGAAAACAGCAACAAAAAATCATGGTCTGAAAATCAGCTTCAAGTCTGTACACACCTGGATGCAGAAAGTTAGAAAACATCTACTTTTAATTAAGCCAACATCTTGAAATTTAAAGTTTAGAAATCCTTTTCAACAAAGTCGATGTTCTGGATTATTATTTTAATATGTAAGGGTGCATATGTATTCGTGAACTATGAAATTCAACTGGTAAAGACGTAGAATGGGGACTCAACGTGCTCGTTAAGGCGATTTTCTAAATTCCCCCATGGAAGTCTGTTTATCCTGAACCGGCAAGGCTGCTGCATTTCAATTCAGGGCTGCTTCTACATTCAGAAGTACAGACTTGCTGAGCTGGGCCAAATCTGTCTATCCAATTACTGGGTAAGAGCTGACTGGAGCTTAAGGCAGAACTTGTAATCTGTACAACTCCATAGTATCAGTGACAGCCGAGTGAAAGAAATGGGCCAGTAGAGTGTGTATGTTGAGTGATACCCGGAGACATAGTTCTTGCTGCAAAGAACTAGCTTCAAATATAACACCAGATAGCAATGAAGTATACAGAGGGTCGACAAAATAGCATGTGCTGGGTCCGCAATCATTTTCAGGTAGAATGGTTTACAACGGAGACAAAGTCTCGATGAAGTGTTGCTGGTCACTTCGCTGAGCCCTGGTGTGAATACTTTTATTATAATCTGATTTAACTACTCTATTTCTCAGTATATGAATTAATACCAGAAAGAAAAGATGAATAAATATGAATACGTTGAGGCATTTTTGAGTCAAATATTAGCTTTGTAGTGACAATACGGAGTCAGCTGAAGGTTTTTTTTTAATTAAAGAAATTGAGATTATTTCCTATTTTGGTTTTTAAAACCAGTTGCATTTTCTATGGAAGGAAAATGGTGTAATATATATTGGTTTGCAGTGGGAAAGTGAATCCTTTTTTCTCATGCATGAAAGTCCAGGCAAGAATAAAATCAGGGCAAAAATAAAAGAAGATATTTTAATTCATGTTATCAGTATATCGTATAAGAAACCTAAAACCTCTGTGAGCAAGGTTTTGCTGGGCCCAGCACTTTTAGTGGTAATGAAATTTCACAGCCATTATCATGACCATCTGGTAATGAATACCTGGGATATCTACTCCAGCAGAAATAAAAACCTTGGTAAAATGTTTCCATTTATAGGATTTTTTTTTTTCTTAAGAGGTGGCAGTAGATAATAGATAACTTAGTAAATGTATGTCTTTATGGTTCAGGAGCCTTACAATTTTTAATAAATAATGGCTTAATTTAATTAATTTATTTATTTATTTTTAATGGCAAGAAATTCCATGTGAATTTAGCCTTATTCCATAGCATCGAGGCAGATGACTTAGTTCTTAATTTCTGTATTCATTGTGATATGGAGCAGGACCCTACGGTTCTTCCCCTCCATGTCCTCAGCCTGCCTTTTGTCTGTAGAAAAATTTTAGCCAAAGAATAAGTTTAATCGGAGAAGTGAGAAAAAGTAAAAACAAAGGGAAACAGTCAAAGGATACCAAATAATAATCATGTGCTCATTGAGCATAGTCAGACCTTCAGTTCCTTTTCAAGGGCTGCAGATAATATTCTGAGCCATGTCCTGTGAGCTGTCTGAGAGATGCTGAAACCGCAGCAGGTGGAAGAACTTAACTGCATGATGGCCAGACTGTAGCCATGACATGCGCTGCCACAATTCTGAGGACTGGCCTCAAGGAAATGGGAACGAGTAGAAACTGAAGACTAACTGTACTTAAACAACACTTGGGACTTTCCTCGTGGTCCAGTGGTTAAGACTCCATGCTTCCAGTGTAAGGGGCCTGGGCTCAATCTCTGGTCGGTGAACTAAGATCCCGCATGTTGCACCTAAAATCGAGATAATATTGATTAGACCACCACGTGACCAATAGCGAGATGACTGTAAGCGCCGACTGTGCTGTTTCTGCATGTAGCCCCCTCCTCCATCTAGAAAAGCTCTTGTCCCCTGATTGTCGGGGGGCGGTGTGGGAGTTGG